CTTTTTTTGCAACCAAACTTGAATCCAGAATATAGTATTGAGGGATCTGAAACCGGTGTATACAGAGGGCTGACTTTTTTATACTCAGGTTCCTTGGGGCCCACTCTGGGACTTCAGTATGTGTGGATTTTGGTATACTTCAGGTCGGGGGGGGGGGGTCCTGGAACCAATCCCCCGAGTATACCGAGTATAATTTGTTACAGCAATAGAAAACTAATACCCACATACCTGTCACTTGATTTAAAAAACTCTACAATATAATTGAAGCCCTTGTGAACTTTTCCTTGGTTGCATTTCCATTCCTACCAAACATTTCTTAATATTTTCCTAGCCATGCATTCCTAAATAATACCTATGGTGTTATGTATGATTTTAAGCTTCATATTACTTTACAAAAATGTGTAACATGCATGCTATTTGGTAGCAATCCATACCGACCATCTCACCATGGTCCATCACTATGATAAATGCCCTGATGGGTGTTCAAGGTCCTGAATAGGGCCAGCTCCTGTTGCCGTGTCACAGCCTGGAGCAACGGCAGCTCCTATTTGTGACTTTATGCCATCATAGAACCGTAGCATGGGAAGGCACTGCAGAGTTCAGGTCCATCCCTTTCTTCTATTTTGCAAATGAGAGAAGCCTCTGGTCCAGAGATATGAAGTGACTTTCCCAAGGCTCAAGGCAAATGGTAGAGCCAGGTCTGGGTCCCAGGCTTGTGCCCAGCACCGGGCTTCTGACACCAGATCTCTGGCTATCAGATTGTGTCTGTTTAGGGTCAGCGTGATGGTCCCATTACATAAGCAGGCGCTTTCGTCAAATTGGTCCTGACGTGATGACCCAGACTGAGTACTTCCAGCATTCCATTTATAGTGATTCTCCCACTAACAGGACCATCCCCAAATGTGAGGAATATCAATAGTTTTAGAACTGCATCCCAAAGAGCGTACTGCATTTATTATGGCCTTTTCCGTGTTGATATTTATTTAGCAAAGTTGTGTTCAAGCTAAGTCCCAGATATAGAAATACAAGCTGATATTCTAATCCTTAGCCCTCATTCCCTCAAAGAAAACTCTCCCAACACAGACGAGAGATGAGCAGAGCATTGCCTGTCCTGTCCGTGCACCTCTCAACAAAGTGCTGCCGTGTCCTCCCTCAGGCATCTCAACTAGAGTCTGTCACTTTTCTGGGGAAGCACAACCTTGCCTTCTACTTCCTTCTACGTATAGCTCTCTTCCCCAGTTTAAAACAACTGAAGCCAGGCATGGTGGCTCACGCCTGTAATCCCTGCACTTTGGGAGGCTGAGATGGGAGGATCATTTGAGCCCACAAGTTTGAGATCAGCCTGGGCAACATAGTGAGGACTCTGTCTCTACAAAAAATAACAAAAATTAGCTGAGTGTGGTGGTATACACCTATAGTCCCAGCTACTTGGGAGACTGAGGCAGGAGGATTGCTTGAGCCAGGAGTTCAAGGCTGCAGTGAACTATGATGATGCCACTGCACTCCAGCCTGGATGACAGAGTGAGACCTTGTCTCTAAAAAAAAAAAAATTAAAAAAAATTAAAATCAAAATTAAACAACTGGAAAACTTACATGATAACTATGATCTCACTTAATCCTGAGCAAGAGGCTGAGGGAGGAGAATAAGGGGTGGTAGAAGGAGAGCAGAGGACTGGGGCTTGCTTCTAGAATCAGGCACCCAGGGTCTCTGGGCCCCTGGAACATTGTAGGCTTCTTCCACACCAGCCAGACTTTTCATTCTGATGGACTATTCCCTGCTCCATCATTCAGGACTAGGGTTAAAAGCAATATTACTACCTACAAACACACCACCACCTCTCAATCACAGGCCAAGGTGGGGTGCCAGGGGTTTCCCCAAGCCCCTCTGCTGCACCATGCTGCAAGGGACAGCAGGAGGCACACGACTGTCTGTCCAGGGGACGGGACTCCTCATCTTCCAACCTAACTTCCCAGCACAAAGCCTGGCACGTGGCAGGAGGCTGCTGTGGTCTGAATGTTGGTGTGCCCCAAAATTCATATCTTGAAACTTAATCCCCAATGTGATAGTATTAAGAGGTAGGGGTCTTTGGGGAAATGATTAAGTCATGAGGGTTTGCCTTTATGAATGGGATTAGTTATAAAAGAGATTGAAGGAAGCATGCTTGCCTTTCTTCCATGTGAGGACATGTAGGAGGCATCATCCATGAAAAATAGGTTCTCACCAGACACCAAATCTGATGGCACCTTGACTTTGGACTTCCCAGCCTTCAGAACTGTGAATAATAAATTTCTGCACTTTATAAATGATCCAATCTAAAGTATTTGTTATAGCAGCATGGGCAGACTAAGACAGAGGCCCATACATGTTTATTATTGAAGAGGAGAGGACTGATGCAATAGCACACGGGCCAGGATGCTGTGCCTGTTTCCATCAGAAAGACTACCTGCCAGGGCCCAGGGCACGGGCGGGCGCTGGCCTGCAGGTGATACAGAAGGAAGCTAGGATGAGAAGTCAGATATTCTCCGAGGATGGAAACACAATGCTGGCTGCCTGGGTGCAGTGGCTGTCCTGAGATGCCTCCCAGTTGAGCACAGTTGTTACCAGTAGGGACCTGTGTATCCTTTCTCGGCTGGGAGAGGTGCTGTGGGGAGCTAAGGGGAAGAGCTCACCTGCCCGAGGCTGCAGTTTAGAAAAAGCGCCTTCCCCATTCCCACTGTCCCCCACGCGGGGAAGCAGAAAAGGGAACAGGGGGCTTTCAGCTGGTTTGCTGGCTCACGTTTAAGTTTAAAATAAGGCAAAACTGGGCACAGTGAAGGATCCCCATAGCAGGTGGTCCAAGAGCTAGGATTTCCCACACAGAACAGGATTCTAACCCACTGCTGGAGTATTAGGGGCTGACCTTGTAAGATACCCTTACTTGCTGTTCCCTGATAACTATAAATTCATCTATTAGGGCTGTGGTCCCCAACCCCCAGGCCTCAGACCAGTACTGGTCTGTGGCCTGTTAGGGATTGGGCTGCAGGGTTCCACCGTCATGGAAAAATTATCTTCCATGAAACTTAAGAAAGGGGTGGGGGTGGCCGGAGCCAGCTCCCCATCACTCTCATCACCGCCTGAGTTCCCCCTCCTTCTCCCCCATGAAAAAATTGTCTTCTGTGAAACTGGCACCTGGTGCCAAAAAGATTGGGGACCGCTGCATTAGGGGACAAAGCCTGTCACCCCGCAATGAGAAACACAGCATTGACTAAAACTACCCCTGGAAGAGGTAACAAGCAGATGCAAGCTCTGTGCTCAGCTTTTGGGGGGAGGGACCGGGCAGAAGACCCCCTGGGAAGGGGGCAGTCAGTAGTGGGAGGCATAGAAGGGCAGACCAACTTTCCTTCTTCCCGCTTGGGACGGGAGATATCCTCCCCTGCAGGGCTGGGGACAGACACAGCTGAGTGGCTGCCTCCCCTGGCTCGCTCAGGCCAGCCCTGACACTCCCCCTGACTAGAGAGAAAACAAAGGCTTCCCCTGTCCTTCATGCCAGCTTCTCTCAGCAAAAGGAATAAAACGGCCCACTTATTTTTATCACCCACAGATTTCCTGGGAAATGGGCTATTAGTTCCTCTAATGTAAAGATAATAGGCTTGTCTCCCTTGGCAAATGGCACGGCCCCAGCACAAACATACTCACAGAGCTGTCAAGAGGCCCCCCTGCTGAGGATGAAGGGCCAGGAGCAGGCGCAGGATTGGACAGGAATGAAGGCGCAGGCCTGGGCTCCCCCACCCACGACCTGCGGGTGCTGGGCACAGCCGGCCCACGCTGAGCCCTGGGGACGCCTCGGCCCTCTGCGAGGACCACTGTCTGACACCAAGGACAGAGAAAAGGACCTCCGTGCTGAACCTGGGGCCCTGCCAGGCACCTGGGCATTCGGTCACACAGGCCATACTCGAGTTTTACATTGTGCTTTGCTTTTCACAGTTGCACTTGCCTCTCCATCCATTCTCAAGCGCTGGGAGGGTGAGGATCCTGCCTGCTGGAGACCCTATTTCCCCCTGGGAGCCTTGGGGCAGCGCTGGGGAAGTAGTGGGAGCTCAGCGACACCCACTGATCGATCAGACTAGGGATGGTGGGGTGTGGCTCTATCTATGCTGGCCACCGTGAGTGTGTGACTTTGCAAAACTCTTTCCACCTGAGGCTCAGTTTCCTGCTAATCTTGGTCTGTGTCTACCTCCCTGAGAGCTCCAGGCCTGGCACCCAGTAGGTGCTCTCCTCCTACTCCTACCTCTGCAGTCCCTGTCCCTTAAGCTGTGGGGGCACAAGCAGGCAGAAAGCAGGGGCAGCCTCACCCAGGGGCAAGGGGCAGCTACCTGACATTCTTTGTCTCGTGGCTGTTAGGGGTCTGGGGGCAGGTGCCATAGTCTGAGGATGGAGGGAAGTGAACTCACACTCTTTCTGTTCCACAGGAAAAAGAGGGTCTGTCTAGAGCAGGGGTCCTCAAACTTTTTAAACAGGAGGCCAGTTCACTGTCCCTCAGACTGTTGGAAAGTGTGCATTGTGGGCCCGGGATGAGTTGGCTGTTAAGCAGGACAGGCAGTGGCAGCAAAAACACCCAGAGGGCCAGATAAATGTGCTAGGCGGCCCGCATGTGGCCCACGGGCCGTAGTTTGAGGACACCTGGTCTAGAGCCATGGAGGCCCTGGGCCAGGGGCACTGTGACAGCCTGGGGAGTTGCTGAGCATAGTTGGGCAAAGCTGCCCAGCCCAGAAGGGGCACGTGGCCTTCAGGGCTGCCCTCAGTGATCAGAACCCTTCTAGGAGAGGGTGATGGGCGTGCGATCACTCTGCATTCTGGAGGGGGACCTCAGACCTAAGAGGGAATAGAGGGGTCCAAAAACCTTCCAGCTGCTTTGAAGTTTCAAAAAAGGGGTGTGCATGCATCTGCAGCAGCAGGAAGTGGTGGGGAAAGTCACCAGGAAACACGGAAGGCTGAGGCCGTAAGGATGAGGCCGGGAGAATTTTAGCATGCAAATGAGTAGGACTGCAGTTTACTGATCAGCTACTACCACTGCTGCCTCCTCCTCCTCCATGCCGTGGGGGCTCTGAGGCCACAGCCTCTGGCTCCCTCTCTCCTGCCGGCCCCGTGCACTGCTCCTCCGCCAAGAGGTACTGCGCCAGCTGCTCCAGGTCCTCCAGGCTTATCCTCTGCAGGCGGTCCTTGTGCTCCTGCCTCAGCAGCTGCAGCACTGCCTTGGCATCCTGTGGCTTAAAGTGTTTAGCCAGGACCCGGTCCAGCTGGTGCCACAGGGGCTGGGGCTGGGGCTGGGGCTGGGGCTGGGGCTGGTGGGCCTCCTTTAGTGCCATATTCTTCAAGGGTCGCATGATGACATTGATGGAAGCATTGGGCCCGATGCAGTAGTCCGAGAGGCGCTTGTCATCGGCCAGCAGCTGGCCTCGGAAGAGCAGGTGCTGCTGTTCCTCGGGCACCTGCAGCCGCTCAGACACCAGCTTCTTCAATGTGGCTATGCTCTCTTGTCCCGACACCTTCACGCTGCATCTCCGGCCCAAGAGCAGCTTGACTGTGAGGAACATTGGGCTAAGAGTGGAATCAGGAAGGCTCCATGCTCTGGGAGCTGCCCTGAAGATTAAGGGGTCCTGCAGGAGAAGTTGCCTTCTCCTAACAGTAGGGGCCAGCGGGCCCAGGAGGCCAAGGGCTCAGCCCAGCTGCACCGCCATTGGCTAATGCACAGTGATGTCACAATGCTGCAGGAGGCTCATTTCCAGAGCGGAACTTTAGGGATGGCAGAGGGGCATTTTGGACACAGCGCATCCTTTCTCCATGAGAGGAGAAGAGAAAAAAGGGAGGGCCAGGAAAGAAAACGTAGGACTGGGAGAAAGGAGAGTGGGCCGGGGAAAGGGAGGGCTGGAAAGGATGGGGGCAGAAGGAGCATGTCTGTTGTTTCATTCAACACACCTGTATCAGGACCCTCCCTGCAGCGCCTGGAGCTGGGGAGCCAATCGCGTCCAAACGGATACCTTCTTCCTTAGGGAAGCTTGCAGACGAGTGAGCCAGCTAACATTTATCAAGTGTCTTCTGTCTGTCCAGCACTTTAGAAGCCCTCTTGGATTGGGTTTCCCAGAAGCAGACCCTGAGATGGATTTGAGCACAAGAATTTAGTTGGGAGGTGATCCCAGGAGGCACTGGGAGGGGTGGGAGGAAGTGGGACAAGGAAGGGAGGGAGCCACAATCTGCACTAATGAGCAGGCTGCCACGGCCACTGGTGCTCGTCCTCTGGGAGTACAGGGGGCTGTAAGGGATCCACCTGGCCTGCACCAGGCCGATTCTTTCCAATCTTGCCCGTCTTTGGTGAATGGGAGTGCTACCTCCCTCGCGCCTTTGGTCCATGGGTGTGCAGAGCATGCTTTTGTGACCGGAGAAAAGCAAGAAGCCATCGGGCCATAAGGAACATGAGCACTGAGGGGACAGGGCGGGGCCCACAACAGCTCTGCCTCTCAGGCACTGCCTTACAGAATTCGCCCAACGCAAGGCAGGCGCTGTCTTGATCTCCGTCCACCAGAGCAGAAAGTGGAGGCCCGGCTTACCCTACGGCAAGGAGGCAGCACCCCTTGCGTCTTTGGTGTTCCCTCCTGTTGCCTCCCAAAACACACACCTGCTCAGTGCCTTCTTTGTGGGCCAGGTACTGAGCAGGCACCCCTGGCTCAAAGGCCAACAGGAAAGGGACACTTACTGGGCCTCCTCTGTGTCAGCAACTTCTGTTGAACTTTTGAAGGCCTCCTGGGTCAAGCCCTTTAGATAGCCTTTATATATGTCGGCACATTTAAGCCCGTGGGGAAGGTGTCGTCTCATTTTAGAAGCGGGCAGGCTTGGAGAAGGCCTGGCTGATGTCCCTCGGCTGGAGGGCGGATTTTGCCAGGGAACCCCTAACTCGCGCCAGCTCTCTGTGCTCCCACCGCACTCGCTCTCCCCGCCTCCCTCTGACCTTCCCTGCTGCGCCAGCCTGGACTCTACGGTGGCACGACACTCTTGCCAACGGGACCTGCGACACTTGTCCCTTCACAGCACCTGGCCCTGACGCCGACCCCCAGGTCGCTCCGAGCTCCGCCTCTGTCCTCTGCCCGTGGCAGCCAAGGGCAGCTGAAGAAAACACCCACAGATGCTACAAGCTCAGCCAGCCCTCATGCCACCCCTGTGTTCTCACTCTTGGCAGGTGACCCGAATTCTAGTCCATAGAGAAACTAGAGCTCACAAGTCAGGAGTTCCCTGACCTGCTGCCCCTGCCCCACCTCATCGTCCTCTCCTCTCCCCTACAATGAGCCCTCTTGCTATCTCCCTTCTTCCTGGAAACATCTCAGCAATCTCCCCGCCCTGATCCCCACTGCCCACCCGGTTCAGGCTCTCACCTCTCTCCAGCCCATGGCTCTGAATTCATCGTCATTTGTCCCCTCCATCCAACCCTACCCCCTTGGGTACATTCATGCCACAGCCAAAGGCATCTTCCTAAAATAAAAGTAAGGTTGACTCCCTTCCTCCGAGTAACAGCATCCAGCTTAATCCCCTTTGCTTTTGGAATCAAAACTGGCCTCCTTTGGCCTGGCAGCCCAGGCCGCTATGGCCTGGCCCTGCTTGCCATGCCAGCCTCCCCTCCCTCCCATTTCTATCCTCCACCCCCGCCACACCCACCTGCCTTTTCCACACTTGCTTGTCCTGTTTGAACTCTTCCAATTAATCCTTCAAAACTCAGGTTTGCTTCCCCCAGGCCTGGGCGGAGGTAATCCCACCTCCCTCCGTGCACCCAGTTACCCCCCTTGAACACACTTGTGTGCGTGCACCGAGCACCCGTCTGTGCCTTCCTCCCCGACTCCCAGAGGCAGGGGCTGGGCCTGCTCTGCCTTTGCACCTCACACCACCAGCACACGGAGCCCGGCAAGGCCTTGAATACATGCTTGTGGAATGAAGAAGGCAAAATTGAGACATGCTGAGCCAGGTAGGAGCAGGCAGGGTGGGCCCAGTACAGCAGGCTCTGGAAAGACATAAACCCGCCTGCAGCCTGTCTCTCACCCCCACCTCCTCCTCTAGAGAGATGAAATACAAAATTACATAAAAAATAAATCTGAAAGTGATTCCAGTCTTTGCCAAAGGATCTTCTGTAGTATTTCTTTAAATAGCCAAGTCCCCTGGTGCATTTGAAATAGACAGAATTTGCAAATGTACCTGTGCATACAGTGAAGGGGGCCATGGGCTCCACAACGGCAGGGCACCTGCGCAGAGGCGGCAGAGGGATGGGTGAGGTTTCTCCTCGGCCATCTGGGAGCTCCCAGCCTTCAAAGGGGAGGACCGTGTGGTGGACAAACCGTGGGATGGACAGGATGGAGGTCACACTGTGGGAAATGCCACGAGCAGAGCTAATGCAGGAAGGCTTCCTGGACGGCTGAATTTGTAGTCATCTTCTGGGGCAGGAGACAGAATGAGGATGAGCTGGGGAAGACAGTGGCCTGCTAACTTTCTCCCAGGCTACAGGCTTTTAAGAAAAGCAGCAGGAGCCAGAGTTCTGAGCATGGAGAACATGAGAATTAGCTCCCCCTCCTGCCTCTCCTCCTCACACCCATCTACCCAGCCTTCCCCAGGACACTGGCAGACGCTGGAGAAGGCCTGGGCTTCTAGACTCACATGACAGCCACAGCTCAGGCTCTGTCTCTCTGAGGCCAGTGGCCATCTGTAAGCAGGTGCCCCTGTGACAATGGCTTTGAGGGCCACACTGCTGGGTCCAAATCAGGCTACCTGATCTAGAGAGTCCAGTGTCCCATGGGCCATGAGGACAGAAGCCTCAGATCAGTGGTATCCTGAGAAGCTGGGAGACATGGTTACTACCCACCCCCTGTGCCTGTTCCGAGGAGTCCCCATTGCTCTCCCCAAGAGAGACAGTGGCGGCACCTTGATGGACCCTCAAAACCACATTTGGAGCCTGGAAATTTTATGTTTTCCCATGTAATTGCTTGTCTTAATTATGCAATTAGCACGAGAAAATGTAATTGTGTAATCAGAGCATGCAATCAGACAATAATTGCCATAATTGGGGGAAGATTATCGGGAATGAGTGGGTTTGGTGACTTGGGGGAAAGGAACAAATGCAGAGTGCTGGACAGTAGTGGGCTCAGACCCCTCTTGAAAATAACTATAAGTGCAATTTGTGTCGCTAGGAAACAAGCACAATGTCTGGCGGGGAAAATGGGTGAGGCTGGGAGGATGCTTTGGGACAGGTCGGTGAACATCCAGGCTCCTGAAGCCCTTGGCAATACCCCTGAACACAGGCTGACTGGGCGTTGGCACAGCAAACGTGTGAACTCCGCAGGATAAAGGCCAAGTGCCCGGCTGCCGGCCTGGGGCCTGCCTTCAGCAAGCCTGGTCCTGGAGTCTCGTCCCCCTCTCTGTGTCATGGGGGTGCGACCACTGCCTGGCCTCCCTTGCACAGGTGCTGTGTGGGCCAAAAGAGCAGGCCATACCCCCAAGTCCTAGCACAGTGTCTGACCCATAAAGACATCCAGACGTACGGATTGAGTTTATAAATGGAAACGGGAGCTCCTACTGCCATCCCCAACTGTCAGGGAAGATCCCAGTGTGCCTAGACCTGTGCCCAAAGTGGGAATCTCACAGGCTGGGTGGGCCCCGGCGCTTGCACAGGTGGGCAGGCAGAGCTCCTCTGCAGAGCTGGCCAGGCAAGGGGAGGACAGGTGGCAGAGACGTGTGCTGGCAGCTGAGGGGCTCCAGGTGGTGGGGAGTCTGCGACCACTGCCAGGGGCTGCAGGAGAAGGTAGGTTATGACCTCTGGCCCCCTCACTCCCCCCTCGAGTGATCAGATTATTGCACTTTAATGACGTCAGGCTGGCCCTCCAGGGGAGGTGCCAGGGGTGGGGCAGAACCTGGGAGAGACAGAGAGAAGGGAGCGAGACAGAGAAACAGCGGCAGAGTAAGAATGCTGAGCACAGGAAGGGCTCGGAAAGGGAGGACTGCAGAGGGTAGACAGGAAAGGGGACAAAAGAAAAGGGGCAGGACAGTGGGACAGAGCTGGGGAGAGGGTGGAAAGGAAGGGAAGGGGGAAGCAGGAGTGGGAAGGGGCAGTTAATGCAAACCAAGTACAGGCGACACCTCTGCAGGCCCCCCTTCTAAGAACCGTCCCTGTTCTCCTCTCCTCGCAGGCTGGAACAGCTCCTGGAGTCTGGAAGCTGTGCGTGGACAGAGGGGTTGAGAGCCTGAAGCTGTGGTCCCCGGCGCACCTTGCACCCCCGCCCCATGCAGCCCACCATTCCACCATGTGTCTTGAGCACTCACAGTGTGCCTGCACTCTGCAGGGGCCTCGAGGAGACTGGCAGGTCCCCAGACACAGCCCAGGGGCAAGGGCTGCCCTCAGGCCCCCCAGCCCCGTGCTGCTGGAGACCTCACTCAGCCTGTGCCACCACCTGCTGCTGTTTCCAGGGAACCCCTTGTCCCTCTGAGGAGGGGGTCTCTCAGCCTGCTCTGTCCCCTGTCAGGCCTAGCTCAGGACAGGATAGGCAGCTGTCTAGGTGGCCCCTGACCCTGGGCTGCCCTCCACAGTGCCTGGCACACAGTAGGAGTTTGGTAAGTAAGCGAGGCCCCTCCCTGCCCCTCGTCTACCGGCTGGCACTGGCTGTCTCAGCAGCTGCACCAAAATGGGTCTGTGGCTGCTCCAATGGGG